CCCAGCGGCCGCCCGGGACGGCGGCGAAGGCGGCGCGCGCGGGGCGCCCTGGAGACCCCCGAAGCTCGCGGAAGGTGAGCGGCTGGGGGACGCGGGACAGGGCGTTCGGCAGGGTGACCCGGAGACCGAGTCTCCGCCCCGCACCTCCAACAGGTGCCGACCCATCTGGAAGTGGGCGATCGGGAGCGAGCCGCGGGGCGGGCTTGGGGGCCCCGGGCGCCCCGCACCGGCCTTCCCGGGGAGGACCTGCCCTCGGGGACCGGCTCGATCCAGTCGGGAAGAGCCCTGTGGACGGACGGGACGGACGTGCCGGCGGCCACCTCGTTCCGGCTGCCTCTGCCCTCCCCCCTCCCCACTTTATCCTAGCTTGCGTCTACGGAGTTTTCTGGATGTTTCTCTCAGGAGCCCTTGTGGGTCAGGCGAGCAGAGAAAGAAACAGATCGGGAGCCCGGTGACCACCTAGGAGCCCTGGAGAGGAATCGGTCCCCAAGGGCCCGGGACCGCTCCCTGGGCCGCTGGGGTGGGGGTGGGGGCAGGCTGTGGTGGTAGAGGCTGTGAAGACCCTGCCCCACCTCGAGGAGCTAGGGCCCCCCTTTCCTCCTCTTTGTCAGGTTGTCTTCTTAAGCTTTTACTGTTAGTCTCTGTAGTAACCTCCTCCTCCCCCCAGTGTCTGGATTCTTTTTTCGGTGGAAGATTGGTCATCTACCCGACTGCTAACATCACTTTACACTGCATTCACTGGCTAGTGTGCCGGGCCACATTCCTATTATTCGTATGATCTCCACTTTACAAAGGAGGAACGTAGGACTCTGGAAGAGTTGTGACTTGCCCAAGGTCATGGAGGCCGAGTGGAAGAGGCTAGTCTCCCAAGTAAACCTTCGGAATTCCTAATGGGTTCTGTCCACCTTCATCGGCCCAGAGAGGACCTGCTGGGCCCGGATTAGAAGGAAGTGCACCTTATGTATGAGCCCCAACTTGTTGAAACTGACAGTTGAGCTGAAAAAAAAAAACAAAACAAAACCGGGGTGCCCCTTCTACCCTCTTCAGACGTCACCAAATATGGAAAGGAAGCAGGTCCCTCCCATTTCCCTCACCCTCCGTGCAATCCTCTTTCTATTCTTCTTATCTTTACCAGGCTGTTTATCCGTGTGCTGAACTCTGTGGTCCTTAGAGATTGGACAATGCTTTATTCACTGTGATGTTAAGCTGCCAGGATTCCTTTGCCCGTGTCTTGGGCAACTTCACGGCAGGCTGGTGTTCCCTCACCCTCTTGCAGGCCCGTGGGCCGTCATGTCTTCTATCAAAAGCTAGTTCAAAAGTGACCTCTGAGGTGGAGAAGTAGGCTCTCAGGGCAGGTTGAAGTGGGAATTAGGATAGCCTCAGGGGAGGTTACTTAAAAAAAAAAATCTGTCTCACTTAACCCTGCAATTCCATTTCCAGGGCTATCCTTCAGGTATACTCTTATGTATATGAAGTGAGGTATTTTCATTAAATATTCATTGCAGCATTGTTCATCTTAGCAAAAGGATGGAAATGGAAACGACTCAATTATTACCAATATACTGGATCCTTGAGTAAGAGCGTGTAATAGCCACAATAAAATAGAGCTCTTAAAAACCTTGGAGGCAGCTGGGGGAGGTGGCTCAGTGGTAGAGTGCTTGCCTCACATGCAGGAGGCCCTGGGTTCGATTCCTTAGCACTACATAAACAGAAAAAGCCAGAAGTAGCGCTGTGGCTCAAGTGGTGGAGCACTCGCCTTGAGCTGAAGAGCTGAGGGATAGCGCCCAGGCCCAGAGTTCAGGCCCCATGACTGACAAAAAAACAAAACAAAACCTTGGAGGGAAAGTATGGCAAAGATAGGTATTTACTAGGAAGATCTTTAAGTCCTATTTTTGTAGTGTCAGTTTGTGTAGTGTCTCATTGTGTGTGAGTGTGTGTGTGTGTCTGTGTATGTGTGATGTATTTGAATGCTTACATTCCATCTCTCAGAAAAGACACAATCCCCACCCCAGGAGAGCTATGGCTTTAGTACGAGATGGGAAGGAGTTTTGAATCTTATATCCTTTCATTCAATAGTCAAAAGTAAATAGATGTTATTTTTAACACTTGCTTCTTCTCTCTAAGGTGGAGTTCATGGTGAGCACACATCTGTGAGTCATAGGTCCAGGGTACTCCTATGATTATTTGTTGATGTAATAGTAGTGGTCACATTCCCTGCTTACTAGGGACCAGGCTTTTGTAATATCTCTAATGTTCAAGGAAATATGTATGGTGTGATCTGTGAACTAACTTCCTTATCTTTTGTCTCTCTCTTGTTTCTTTCTTTTTTCCCCCTTTTAAGTTAATTTACGTATCTTGAGAGGTCTTGTTGTGCAGCAGGGCTGAACTCAAGTTTACTTTGTGTTTCAGGCTTGAAGTCTTGATCCTACCTTAGCCTCCCCAATGCTGAGATTACAGGTGTATACTACCACACACTGTTCTCTCCTTACTCCCATCTTCCTTCTCTTCTCTTCTCTTCTCTTCTCTTTCCTTCCTTTTCTCTTTCTCTCTCTTCTCTTCCTCCCCCTCCCCCCCAACCTATCTTCCTACCTACCTTCCTTCCTTCCTTCCTTTTTCTTTTACTGTGCTGGGGCTTGAACCTAATGCATGTGTGCTATACAAGCACTGAGCTTATATTATTAGCTCTGAAAGCGCCATTTTTGAAAGTAAAACAAAACAACAAAAACAGTTAATTGTCATATGGATTAACCTGATATTATTGCCTTCATCTTTCAAGTATTATTTATCTTAATTTTAAGATGCAACAGAGGACTAGACAAGTTAAACAAATCATTTTAGGGCATAGGGTTATTTTTGTTTAGTGCCTTAGCCAGGGTTCAAGCCCAAGATGTTTGGTGCCAGATCTTAATTGTTAACGCTGTTATTCTTTCTTGTTTTCATTATTCAGGTGTGCTATACCTTGCTGTCCTGGCCCCTTCTTTTGGTATTTGGGTCCTCCCAAGGCCTGCACCATGCCCACTTTTTCTTAGCTCTGATGCTCTCACTGAGTAGAGGTGAAGTGCATGTCATCGGCTTGATCACATGATGGTGCTGAGATTCAAGGAAGATGAGTTGTACCCCTATGTGTGCGTGTACCCTCCTCCCAGCTCCAGCTCCAGAAGGAATGCCCAGAGCTGTTTCTTTCCCACAATTGGCCAGATGGTCAGTCTCCTTTTAGAAGAGCCAGCATTAAGATGAGGTAGCAGCCGGGCAGCGATGGCATATGTCTATAATCCTAGCTACTCAGGAGGCTGAGATTTGAGGGTCATGGTTCCAAGCCAGTCTGGGCAGGAAATTCCATGAGACTCTTTTTTTTTTTTCTGTTGGTCGTGGGGCTTGAACTCTGGGCCTGGGTGCTGGTCCTGAGCTCTTCAGCTCAAGGCTAGTGCTTTACCACTTTGAGCCACAGCACCACTTCCGGTTTTCTGGTGGTTAATTGGAGATAAGAGTCTCAGAGACTTTCCTGCCTGGGCTGGCTTTGAACCATGATCCTCAGATCTCAGCCTCTGAGTACTTAAGATTATAGGCCTGAGCCATTGGTGCCCAGCTATCCATGAGACTATTACCTCCAATTAACCACCAAAAAGCTAGGAGTGGAGCTGTGTCTAAAGTGGTAGTGCACTAGCTTTGAGGAAAAAAAAGAAAAACTCAGGGACAACACTCAAGTTCCAGTTCAAGTCCTAGGCCTGGTGCATGCTGGGCCCACGCGCACGTGCACACAAACATACACACACACAAAGCAGATGAAGCGATGGTCCATCCTTAGCAAGTGGGAGTTACAACCATTCTCATCACATGGATATAATAGTGCCAGAGAATCAGATAGTAAGAGACCCCATAACTTTGTTTCCTCCCCTGTGTTGGGGATCATACCTGGGGGTTTGTGTGCGTAAGTAAGGGCTCCACCACTGGGCCACATCCCCAGCCTGCCCCATCTATTTTTCCCATTAATGATGTGTTTGTGTTAGGCAGGCCTGGTAGACTGAGAGATCTACCACTACAACTGAAGCCTCCATGGAAACAGGATTCTCCTAGATGTTAGGAGATCAAGGTTCTTGATTTAGCCCTGCTACACTTCAGCTCTGTCTCTCTCTGTCTCTCTGTTTCTCTCTCTCTCTCTCTCTCTCTCTCTCACACACACACACACACACACACACACACACAATGAGTTATCTCATCTGATTATTGCAAATAACTGCCCTGTCTTCTGTCTAGAGGATAATGACACTTGTTGCCTTGCTTTGGAACGTTAAGAGTCAGGCATTCATTTGTGCTCATCCTTGCACGTCTTGGTTTGGGGAGGAACAAGTGCAAGATCACTGAAGTAATGAGGTTCAGTGTACTAGTACCTTCCTTTAACATTCATGTTGCTCCAAACACCTGCTTCTGCCGGAATGGCCTCGGGGCCTGAGGTTTGGCGGTATGCACTTGCTCCAGATCTTCTTCCAAACCTCTTAGCTCCCCTTACAAGCTGAGGCAAGCCTAGCAGGAGCCTCAGCCTCCTGAGGAGCTTGCCAACGTGCCTGAAGCAGAGCCAGGGATAGGATTAGCCCGCCCACTGGTTAGTCCAGAACCATGATGTCACTTCCTTACACCTGAAGTCTAGGTGTAAGCTCAAATACCAAATAACATTTCTGATATCAGAAATAAAAATAATATGGCGGCTGGGAAGGTGGCTCAGTGGTAGAGTGCTTGCCTTGCATGCATGAGGCCCTGGGTTTGATTCCTCAGCACCACATAAACAGAAAAGGCCAGAAGTGGCGCTGTGGCTCAAGTGGTAGAGCGCTAGCCTTGAACTGAAGAGCTGAGGGACAGCGCCCAGGCCTAGAGCAAGCCCCACAACCGACCAAAAAAAAAAGTTTTATTTCTAAAATCCCTGGAAGTTTTAATAATTTGAGGTTTTGCTCTGTCCGGGGGAATCTCAATCAGTAAGAGGGAAAGGAAAACAAAATTAATGAAACTCAAATGTGTTTCTTTTTCCCAGCCTTTGGTTTTACTTTGGGTGCTTTCATTGGTTAATTCTTAGCTTGGGTTGGGTTTCAAATCCCAGTCTCAGGTGTGCTACTTTTTCTATTGATGGGAGGATGGGAGGAAAAGCAGAAGTTTGCCCAGAAGACAAAGAAAGTCAAATGTGAAGCCTCCCAGCTTCTGTGGAAGCCCTACAAGGTTCTGTTTTGTCTTCTCAGCTGTGATCTTAGCTCAGAGAAGGTCATGTTTTGTTTTAGTCTTTGTCTTCCTTCCCGTTCCAGTTGGTCCCAGTCTTTTTGAGGTAGGGATGGCTGAGAGGTCACAATGCTTGCATTGTTCAGGATGATGGTTCTGGACTGAGATCATGTACCCAGTTTTCTGAGGAGCTCAGAGTTGAAAGAATCAGACACTAGACCCATCAGTAGTTTAATTGTTGGGCCAGGTCTACTGACTATTTTTAAAGGAAGACAAAAAACAGGACACATATTAAGTGTCTGTACTTATTGTTTATGGTGACAGAATATTTGAGCCCTGGATGCCTTAGAAAATGTGAGATATAGATTTACTTTAATGTTAAAGTTTCTTAATTTTTTTTTTTTCAGTTGTGGCGCCTGGGCACTGTCCCTGAGCTCTTTAGCTCAAAGCAAGCACTCTACCACTTGAGCCACAGCACCACTTCTGGGTTTCTGGTGCTTAATTGGAGATAAGAGTATTATGGAGGGCTGGGAAGGTAGCTAAGGGGTAGAATGCTTGCCTCACATACATGAGGCCCTGGGTTCGATTCCTCAGCACCACATAAACAGAAAAGGCCAGAAGTGGCACTGTGGCTTAAGTGGTAGAGTGCTAGCCTTGAGCTGAAGAGCTCAGGGACAGCGCCCAGGCCCAGAGTTCAGGCCCCACGACCGACCCCCCCCCCAAAAAAAAAAAAAGAGTCTCATGGACTTTCCTGCCCAGGCTGGCTTTGAACTGCAATCCTCAGATCTCAGCCTCCTGAGTAGCTAGAAGTAGCTAGTACAGGTGTGAGCCACCAACGCTTGGCTTAAAATTTTTATATATTTTTTTTCTCTTTCTTAACAATTTACCTCATTCTTTGTGGAATTTGAATGCTTCCCTTTTTGTCTATAAAGTTTGCAGTGCTAAGTCTCAAACCCAGCAGCTCATAGGTATGCTAGGCAAACAATCTGCCCCTATGCCATGCTCTAACCCTACAGTTTGACAAATCTTAGTTGATACGTATTTGCCCTCTCTTTACCATAGAATAAGCAGATCTCAGACATTTTATCATTTTACCTATACATCATATGTATCTCTAGCAAAGGACATTAAAATTCCTTGAAAACTCAAAGGTGGGACCTCTCTACATTTGCATCTCTAGAGTTTACACAGTGGTGTATAAATTGTTGTTGAGTGGAAAATTGAATGGAAAACAAGTCCTACTTTTTTTTTTTTGGTTCCAGTACTGGGGCTTGAACTCAGGGCTCTTGCATAGCTTTTTGCTCCAAGCTAATGCTGTACCACTTGAGGCACAACTCTACTTCCAGCCTTTAGATGGTTAATTGGAAATAATAGGCTCATGGACCTTCTTTCCAGAGCTAGCTTTGAACCTTGATTCTCAGATCTCAGTCTCCTGAGTGGCTAGGATTATAGGCATGAGCCCTTCTCCAGTCTGCAAAGGAGACCAACTTCCTGAGCTTATTCAGCTACTTATTGTAGGAACGGAACACACTGGGCTGAGAAAGATGGAAGACCACCTGGAGAGAACAGTGACTTCCTCCTTTCCCCAACTGCTTTCTGGGTCCTTCTTTGGTCTCCTCCTCTTCCTGTTTTCCCCAAATAATTGCTCCACACACACTGATTTATCTTTTCCTCCCTCTGTGTGCTGATTCTTAGGGTTTAGAGCAATATCCAGAAGTTGATTCCATCATGGCGGAAGTCCAGGTGGAGACCCGGGCCAGTGTAGACTGGCAGAAACGCTGCCTGACCCTGGAAACACAGCTCTTCCGGTTCCGTCTGCAGGCCAGCAAGATTAGGGAGCTGCTGGCTGACAAGGTGAGTAGCAAGGAGCATTGCAGAAGTTAGCAGCAGGCTGCAGTCAGGGCGGCAGAGCTGGGGAAAGCAAACTTTCAATGAGATGCGTTTCGTGTTTTCATGTGGCATGAAATGCAAGGTAGATTCTTGGTTTAAGGATCAAATTCTGAACAACTTACTAAGCTCTTTTTTTTTTTTTTTTTTTGGGTCCAGTCATGGGGCCTGAACTCTGGGCCTAGGCACTGTCCCTCAGCTCTTCAGCTCAAGGCTAGCACTCTACCACTTGAGCCACAGTGCCACTTCTGGCTTTTTTCTTTTTGCTTATGTGGTGCTGAGGAATCGAACCCAGGGCCTCAGGCATGCAAGGCAAGCGCTCTACCACTGAGCCACCTTCCTAGCCCCTTACTAAGCTTTAATTTGGCATTTTTCTCTATTCTGCTTTTCATATGCCAAATCAAAGAATGGTATCATTCTTTGTTACCTTTTTAGGGCTGAATTCTATACCCCCAGCCCTCCTCTTTTGTTTTTTTTTCTTTTTTCTTTTTTTTTTTTAATGTGTGTGCCATTTTGGGGGTTTAAACACAGGACTCAGGTTCTACCACTTGAGCCATAGCTCTATTTCTTGCTTTTTGGTGGTTAATTGGAGCTAAGAGTCTCATGGCCTTCCTTGCCTAGTTTGGCTTCAAACCATTATCCTCAGATCGCAGCTTTCTGAGTAGTTTAGGGTTACAAATGTGAGTCACCAGCACCTGGCTTGCTTGTTTTGCCTTTGAGATAAAGTATATTTGTGTGTGTGTGTATGTGTGTGTGTGTGTGTGTATGTGCACATATGTATATATGTTTAACTTGAGTAACTTAACCTTTTATTTTAATTTGTTTTAAAACATTAAGTAGTTGTACAAAGGAGTTGCCATTGAACAAAGCAACTTATGAATATATTGAATCTTGATCAGTGTCACCCCTTTCATCATTTCCACCCATCTATCCCAATCCCACCCCTTCTCCAAATTTTCTTTTCTTGTCAGTTGTAGGGCTTGAACTCAGGGCCTGGGTGCTGCCCCTGAGCCTCTCTTTACTCAAGGCTAGCACTCTACCGCTTGAATCACAGCGCCATTTCCAGCTCTTGAGTGGTTAGTTGGAGATAAGAGTCTCATGGGGACTTTTCTGCCTGGGCTGGTTTCAAGCCACGATCCTCAGATCTCAGCCTCCTGAGTAGCTAGGATTACAGGCACCTGGCTCAATTTTCTTAATTTTGTAGGATATACATTGAATTTTATGAGGGTATTCTCCTCACCCCCAGGTCGCGCTCATTTTGATTATATTATTATTTTTCCCAGTTAATTTTTCTCTCACAGTACAAAGGTAAAGCTCAGCTCCTTTTCAATTCATGTGTTCATTAAGAAAGTCTGTTTTATTGACAGTTGTACAACCTCAAAATCAGGAAGGCAAGTCAGTGGCCGTTTCAATAACTGGGGCAAGGCTGTGGACTAGCCTAAACTAGAACTCTTGACCCCTGAGTCAGTTGGCATTGTTCTCTTAGTGTGTTGGACAGTGCAGGGTTCCTGTGGATATGGGACAATGGAAGAATTCATCCACCTTAGAAGAAGGGCTGCAGTTGTCAAAGTGTGTTCAGAATCACATGACATGCTGCTTGTTCAAGTGTGTGTATGTTCCTGAGCTACTCCAGTCCTCTTGATCCAAATCTTCAGGGTGCTGCAAATAACTGGGTGCCACTAAGCACAACAAGCTCCCAGAGAATGATTTTGTACACTATAAAGTTTGAGCACAATACCGTAAGCTATGATATTGGGGGAGACACGTGAAGAAAGAAAAGGGAAGGGAGGAAGGAATCCACGTGGGCTAGGTGGTCTGAAACACACATGAAGGGACAGACTTCTGTACAAAACCGGAATTAATTATTTAAAATATCCTCCTAAGTGAAGAGATGATCGTTGAAAAAAAAAGCCAGAGCATTTCTCAGGGCAAATAGAAGAGGGAAAAATGAGACTAATGCCGAGGGAGGAAGGGCTGTGCCCCGCCTTCCTTTAATACAAGGAATAAAGTTGGAGCTTTTACAGTTGTGAAGTCAGATATAACATTTGACTAAATGGCGATCTGAGTTGAAACTCTGTCTTCTGTATGAAGGCAGGACTACTAACAGGCCCAGCCTAAATAAAAGGTAGATAAGGGCGTGATGTCGCACCGCTTGTAGTTCCCAGCTACTGCTGTAGGAAAGAATCCAAACCAGGTGGATGTTTCTTTCTATTATAACTGTTCTTGTCTTATCAGTCCAGCTCTAGGGTGATGTTCTCGGTATCTGAAGATGGTTCACCTTGATACCCACATTCCCATTTTCCCCCTTGAAATCCATACTCACACGTAGCATATATTCCTTCGGTTGTGTTCTCACTGGCCCAATCTCAGTCACATGTTATACTTAGCTTCAAAGGAGGTTGGGAAATGTCATCTTTATTTTAAATAATTGTGTGCTGCACTATGGGTGATCTGCTTATGAGCAAGAAGAAGAGAATACATCATGGGGAACAGCCAGCTGTTATAAGTCTAAAGAAATGAGAATTAAAGATTTTTTTTAAAAGTATTTAGTGAGGTGGTCTTAAAAACAGCCTTTAACAAGAAAACGTCAAAAAAATACTTACAGTACATTTAAGTTTATGTAACTTCTTTTCAGTGTGTGGGATGGAGCCTAGGGCTTTGCATATGCTAGCAAATTCTCTCCCACTGAAGTATATCCCCCAGCCTGTGTGTAGTTTTGTTTGTTTGTTTGTTTAAACCCTGCAAAAACAGCATTTCCTGTTGTTTAGAAGAGTCAGTTATTTCTTACTCCAGTTCCACAATTGTGTGTTTTGCCATTTGAAAATGAGTATGTGATTTCAAGTGAGCCAAAGGTCTGCTACAGCAAATATTAAAACCCTTGACTTTAAGGGGCTGGATATGTTCAACTGGTAGAGCAAACCTGCCTAGCAAACGTAAGACCCTGAGCTCAGACTTCGGTACTGCCACTGAAAGAAGAAAAGAAAGCCATTGTCTTTGATTTCAACAGAGTTAGAACCATTTAGAATCCAGCACACTCAAAATGCTCATAAGAAATAGGCAAGAGAGCTTCTTGAGAGGAAAACTGGAGAGGACATACTGAAGCCACTTACTGGAAGGAGAAAATGTAACCTTAGTGTGATCAGGTAAATAGATTCTTCCAGAGAGTAATGTTTATGGAATAGATTTGGAGTAGATGTGAAAATTGGGTGCGATAGACAATATAGCTTGTGTCTAAATAGCATGGAGTCTGGAACTCTTTGATCTGAGTTTGAATCCTAGTTCTGAATCTTTTTTTGGGGGGGAAGGGGGGCAAGTACCAGTGTTTGATTTCAAGGGCCTTGTGCTTTCTTGGTTTGCTTGCTTTGCTGGGTTCTCTTTAATACTTGAGCCACATCTCTAGCCTGGCCTTTTCTGGCTCATATTTTATAGATGGAGTCTTGTGGACTTTTTTGCCCTAGCTGGCTTTCAACTTTGATCTGTTGGATCTCAACTCTTAGTAGCTAAGATTTCAGGTGTGAGTCATAAGCATCCATCTCTGGCTCTGAATCTTACTAGCTGTATGACCTTGAGCAGGTTACCTTTCCTGTCTGCTTCAATTTCTCTCTTGCTCTTATTTTTTTTTAAATTGTTGTTATCAAGGTGATACACAGAGAAGTTACAGTTATGTAAGTCAAGTAAAGTTAAATTTCCTTCTTTTTGTTTTGTCAGTTATAGGGCTTGAACTCAGGGCCTAGGCCTGGGCACTGTCCCTGAGCTCTTTTGCTCAAGGCTTTACCACTTTGAGCCAGAGTGCCACTTCTGGTTTTCTGGTGGTTAATTGGAGATAAGAGTCTCACAGACTTTCCTGCCTGGGCTGGCTTTGAACCCTGATCCTCAGATCTCAGCCTCCTGAGTAGCTAGGATTATAGGCATGAGCTGCCAACACCTGGCTCTATGTAGGTCTTATAAGACAACCCTCTAGGCTCAAAGTTGACAGCATCTGACTTAAAGCCATTCTTTCTGTATGTAGGTGAGTTCTAACCAGTAAACTGAAGAGAAGATGAAAAAAGTAGTTTTGTTACTAATGATGCTGGGACAAGTGAATGTCATACTGTCCTGGTAAACTGATCTCTTGAGTACAATTTTTGTATCAGGAAACACCAGTGAACAACTTCTATCTACAGTGCTATTCTAGGTCATGTGCATTACACTAGTGGGCATCTTGGGTAACCTTAACAACCCTAGAGGTAAGGGCTGTTGTTTTCTCTAACCGAAGAGATTCTGGAATTTGTATAAAGTCACACTGTGGAGGAATTAGCCAGGCTTCAGAAGCTTGGCTCTTTCCTGTACCATTCTGTCCAGTAGGTGCCAGGCAGTGATAAGAATGTTGAGACCTCTCCTTTTTTTTTTTTTTTGGTACTGAGTATGGAACACAGGCCTTGCACATTCTAGGCATGTGTTCTGCCACTAAACTACCCCACCAGCCCTTAGAGCTCTGAGACAGCTTTTTGCTTTGTGGCTCAAGCTGATATCAAGCTCATGATTCTCTGCTTTGATTGTTGGGATTATAGGTGTGGATCCCCAGGCGTGGCTTGAATCCTCTTTCCAAAGGAACATTTGAGACCCAGGATGATGTAGTTCTTAGCTCTGGCTGCTGCGGGGCCCAGCAGAGTTGTACCGGGATGCAGGAGACTGCCCCTTGCTCTTGTTGATATGGGGCTGGTATTTCACAGCTTCACTGCCTGTAACAAGGAGCCATACACAAGGAGGTGGGATACCAGATCGATGCCAAGGGCCTTTCATCAGGTGGCTGCAGCCAGTACTAGGACAGCTTATGAGTCTCAACTTTCCACAGGGTGAAAGTGGATTGTCAGCCGCCTGAGCCCGAAATCCTTGGCTGGCATGTCGCTCCAGACCCATGCACTAACAGGACATGGTCCTAGGGAACTTTCTGAGAGGAGGAACAGAACACAAGTAAGGAATGGACCGCCTGTAGTCCCAGTTCTCAGAGCTCCATGAATGGCTCTTTAAGCAAGTATGGAGAAGAAAGGTCTACTCAAGTGAAAAAAGTATCTGCTGGAATTAAAAGAACAAGTTGATCTGGGCATCAGAGGCGCAGGCCTATAATCCTAGTTACTCAGGAGGCTGAGATCTAAGAGTCTTGGTTCGAAACCAGCCCTGGCAGGAAAGTCCATGAGATTCTTACCTCCAATTATCCACCTGAAAACCAGAAGTGGAGCTGACACTCAAAGTAATAGAGCATTAAACTTAAGCAGAAGTCTCAGGGACAGCCACCCAGCCCTGAGTTCAAGCCCCACCACCGAAGGAAAAAACAATGCTGAACACTCAAAAACTAGCATTTCAGCTTGGACACACTTGAAAATATTCCAGTGGTAGCCCCTCCCTTGTCTACTTGTCCTGTGTGGATCTGGCTTTTTCTCCAACTGTTCAACCATCTCTCTTTAGCCTAAAAATGTACAGTGTATTAAGCAGTTCTTTTTCTGTCCCAGCGTCTAAATTTCCTAGTTGAAATTTGCTTTCCTTGGGCAAAAGATAGAAGAGAAGGACCCCCAGGCTGCTGCTAGACAGTGAAAAGAATGTTACATAGAAGCTAGTTCATAATTTAGGGCCCAAGGACTTCTTTTATCAGGGCGTCTTTTCCTTGTTCATTTTTTTTTTCTTCTTTCTAGGATTGGAGAGACACATAGCTTCTCAGTACCCATTCCATTTGAGGGAGCGTGTGTGGGTTGGGGTCACTGGTTCTGTCCCTCCTTCTGGAAAATAAGATTGGGATATGCTTCAAGTATATGTATAGGGCAGACAGGTTGCCCAGGAATAAGATGAGTTAGGGGAGGTCTGAGAATGTGGCTTAATGGTAGAGCGCTTGCCTAACATGCATGAAGCCCTGGGTTCAATTCCTTAGTACCACATAAACAGAAAAAGCCAGAAGTAGCACTGTGGCTCAAGTAGTAGAATGCTAGCCTTGAGCAGAAGAAGCTCATGAACAGTGCCCAGGCCCTAAGTTCAAGCCCCAGGACTGACGGGGAAAAAAAAAAAAAGATGAGTTAGGTGAGGAAATATGTGGCATCACCTCAGCCAAAGCATCTGGCATTTGACCTGAGAGCTGACTACGCGGATTTGCCCTGCCTATTCACAGCCTTTAGCTTTAGTTACTGATGTGCAGTTTGGGTAATGAATAATGGCTCCATGACAGGGGAAGATGGGAGCCGATCTCTAACCTATACTCCATGTAGCCTTAGGCTATAGCTTATATATGATCTTTTGTGAGCCTCAGTCCCTTTGCTTCAGCCACTTGGTGTAAGATTCCAGAATTACCTAGCTCCTTAGATCTAAGTGATATGCTTCCCCAGGCAGCAAGGTAGATTTGAGTTTCTTTTTTTCCAGTCATGGGGCTTGAACTCTGGGCCTAGGCTCTGACCCTTAGCTCTTCAGCTCAAGGCTAGCATCCTGCCACTTGAGCCACAGCGCCACTTCCTGTTTTCTGGTGGTTAATTGGAGATAAGAGTCTCACGGACTTTCCTGCCAGGCTGGCTTTGAACCACAGTCCTCAGATCTCTGCCTACTGGGTAGCTAGGATTACAGGCGTGAGCCACCAGCACCTGGCTTGTTTCTTTTTGTTTGATTGTGGTGATAGAGATGTGTGGTGCCAGGGATTCAAATGCTGCGCCAATATGCTGTACCCAGCCCCAAGACAGGGTTATTGTGTTTTTTGTTGTTGTTGTTGTTGTTGTTGTTTGGTCAGTTGTGGAGTTGAATTTAGGGCCTGGGTGCTGTTTCCAAGCTCTTTTGCTCAAGGTGAGTGCTCTACCATTTTGAGCCACAGCTCTATTTCCAGTTTTCTGGTGGATAATTGGAAATAAGAGTCTCATGGGCTTTCTTGCATGGGCTGGCTTTGAACCACAACCCTCAGATCTAAACCTCTTGAGTAGCTAGATTATAGGCATGAGCCATCAGTGCTTGTCTTGGGTTTTTGTTGTTTGTTTTTAATGTAGCAGCGAGGGATGGTTTAGTAACAGAATATACTTAGTATGCTCAAGACCTTAGGTTCACTTTGGTTCCTGGCACTAAAGTCTACTGAACCTGGCACTGAAGTCTACTTTAATTTAGTTTTAAATTAAACTAAATAAGGTGATATGAATGTCATGTGTGCCCAAACAGGGAGATATTCTGTGTGGATGATACAAGGCAGGCTTGTATGTAAACAAGGTCCATCCTACAAAAGGACAGAAAACCTAGACTTGCATTCATCAGCATCAAAGACAGCAGCCATGGCTCTTCACTTGACTCATAAACCCAGGATCAGGGAGCTGAGACTTAAATAACCATGAGAATCTTTTTTTTTTTTTTTGTCGGTCATGGGGCTTGAACTCTGGGCTTGGGCGCTGTCCTTGCGCTCTTCAGCTCAAGGCGAGTGCTCTACCACTTGAGCCACAGCACCACTTCTGGTTTTCTAGTGTTTTTTTGGAGATAAGAGTCTCATGGACTTTCCTGCCCAGGCTGGCTTTGAACCGCGATCCTCAGATCTCAGCCTCCTGAGTAGCTAGGAATACAGGCATGAGCCACCGGCGCCAAGCTTCTTCTTCTTCTTCTTTTTTTTTTTTTGCCAGTCCTGGGGTTTTAACTCAGGGCCAGGGCATTGTACCTGAGCTTCTTTTGCTCAAGGCTAGCACTCTACCATTTGAGCCACAGTGCCACTTCTGGCTTTTCTGTTTATGTGGTACTGAGGAATTGAACCCAGGGCTTCATGCATGCTAGACAAGCACTCTACCACTAAGCCACCTTCCCAGTGCCACCATGAGATTCTTTTACCCTGGTACCTTGGAGCCAGTTGTGTTGACAAGCGGAATCCTGGCTTGAGTGGTAAAGTCTGACTGACCCTTTGCTTGATGGCCCTTATGGTGTAGTGACAGTTGGGTTATGGTACCTACATCTTTACTTCCCCGGCTGAGCAGATGCAGGAGCTGGAGCAGAGGCTGCTGGAGGCGGAGCAGAGAGCAGAAAATGCAGAGACCCAGGTAACAGGGTCTGGGGGTGGGAGATTGACAAGAGAGTATGGGGAGGAGGGGGAGATGATCTGGTCTTCTGAGAGCAGGAAATCCATCAGTTGCATGTAAGACCTGAACAGGTAGTACAAAGAGCTTTCTGTGGCAATGAAGGCATGTTTGGGTAGGCTTGGTTTAGCAAGGGGATGCATTAGTCCAAGTGAGCCATGCTATGCTACAGGAACAAATTAGGTCTTCAGTCCCAGTGATTTATAACATTTGGTTCCATGCATGGTTCTCATCCATTAAAGGGTTCAACTGTGAGTGTGCTTCCATAGCCATTCACGGGTCCATGATAAATAAGACTCTCCTATCTTATAGTTAGAGCCTATAGGACACATAGCCTTGAGCAAAAGAGCTTAGGGACAGTGCCCAGGCACCAAGTTCAAGCCCCACAACTGACAAAAAATAAAATAACAAATAAATATTAAATTACCAGGCTCTGGTGGCGTATGCCTATAAATCCTAGCTACTCGGAATGCTGAGATCTGAGGATCACAGATCAAAAGCCAGCCTGGGCAGGAAAATCTGTGCCTTTTTATCTGTAATTAACCACCAGAAAACCAAAAGTGTTGCTATGGCTCAAAATGGTAAGAGTCCTAGCCTTGATGATGATATTAATGTTAGAAATGGCTCAGAATGTTGGGGTGTCATAGGGAATAAGGAAACAATCCTGGAAGGAACTCAGCAAGGCAAAATTTACTTCAGAAGAGTGTGCCATCTGCCAAAAATCTGGCAAGCAAGCACACAGAGCAGACAGGCTGCTCCCTTTTTATCCCTAATACAACAGGCCCCACCCTTCTGCTTGGATTGGCTGAGCTCAGGTTCACAATCTGCTCATGATTGGCAAGTTTGAAGAAGCTGGAAAAACTGATTAACAGTTTTTCTTTTTGTTTTTTTGTCGGTTGTGGGGCGTCAACTCTGGGCGTGGGCGCTGTCCCCCAGCTTTTCAGCTGTAGACCAGCGCTCTACCACTTGAACCTCAGCCCCACTTCCCGCTTTTTCTGCTTATCAAACCGAGGGCCTCATGCATGCAAGGCAAGCACTGTACCACTGAACCACCTTCTCAGCACCGGATAACAGTTTCAAGTAATTATAAAGTGACTGTTAAAAGACTTTGAGATAAAAGTAATAGTACTTAAGCAATCTCAAAACAAAACTCACACCCTGTACTACTGGAACAATCTGAGGTGTGTCTTAATTGCTCTTCAAAACATACTCACACCCTCTTCTGCTTTGTTGAACAATCTTAAGTGTATCTTAATTCCTCTTCCCTTTTGGACCAACCAGTTGAGACAAAACCTTACATTTCAAAAATTCCTCCTCTTTAAAGCATTTCCTCTTTCTTAGAATAATCAACAAGAACTAAGCCAGCAGGCCAAAGCAGGAATTTTTAAGCAACCCACTTTGATAGAAATTAATATTAATACGAGTATTAATATTAAGTATAGTAATGATTAATAGTTAACGTATTATCATTATTATTTGGCGATACTGAGGGTCTTGTGCTTCCCAGCCAAGTGCACTTGAGCTGTGCCTCCAGCCCAGAATAGCCAAAAGGAGTTTTTGTGTTTTCAGTTCCTTCTTTTGCCCAGATAAATGCTTCCTTCATTTGGCCCAGAGCAAGTGCTCTGCCTGGAAGTCATAGTGTGTTACATCTGGGGGTATCCCTACCTCTGTTACTGACCATTTCATACACCTTATGAGTGATGTGAGACCTCTCTGTCCTTTTCAGGTGGGTATGATGGAAGAGAAGGTAAAACTGTCCAATCTAAAGAATGTGGACTCCACAGGCAGCCTGCACTGCAAGTACCAAGAATTGCTGAAAGCCATGCAAAGCAAAGATGAGCTCATCTGCCAGCTGGAGGCACAGCTGGAGAAACAGGTAAGGGTTAATGTGTACAACAGAGCACCAATCCCCTTTCGCCATTGACGCCAGTTGACCCCACTTCTCAAGCCCCTCTGCTTGAGCCCTGAAGTGATGGGGAACTCGCTACCATGACTCTGTTCTTTCACATGGGGTCTTGATTAGTGAGAAGCCTTTTTTTCCTCACATCTGTTCACTAGAAGCCAGACAAGGGCTATAGAGGTAAAGGACCTTGGAGACAGGCTGATCTGAGTCTGAATCCTACCTTTATCTCTTCTCTCACTGGGCACATTGTTGAAATGGCTGGTTATCATTTTACACAGCTGTACAATAGAGGTTATAAAAATCTATTGATTGAGGGGGGGACTTAATAGATAATCTGCATATAATATTAGACACATGGTTGGTGCTTTGTAAGGAGAGCCTTTCTTTCTCTGTGCTGGCCTTGTGCCCCATCAGCATGTGCTATTTGATACTTGACTGTAGTGTGACTGGAGCAGCAAGGCTGGAAGATCTTCCTTGGTCAGCTGGTTGGCCGAAGTTTCTCAATGAACCTGAACAAGCAGAAATGAATGTTGCCCCCTTCTGGTATTTGAGACTTACCCTCCTGAGTGTGTCAGAGCCTAGGAAAACCCACTGTCTAGCATTGGAATTTGCTCCTAAGAGAACTTCGGGAACATCCTCAGCCTGAGAGTCTAGCTGCTTTTGTAGAGCTGGCTGATGCCTGGATGTTAGGTGTACACTGTTCACTCATTTCTTCTTCAGAATAGCTCAGCAAAGGGGTTTCCTTTTCCCCCCTTATAGAGGCACACAGAGGAAATAGCTTTCCTGACTAATGTCTCTCAGCAAATAAGCATCATGTATAGGATCAAAGCCCATTTCATTTTATCCCAGGCCACTCGGATGGGGTAGCATGCTAGGCAATTGCTGTACCATGGACCTATACCTCCAAGCCCTTGCTTTATTTAGATATAAACCTACTAGGGCTGGGAAGGTGGCTCAGTGGTAGAGCGCTTGCCTTGCATGCATGAGGCCCTGGGTTCAATTCCTTAGAACTACATAAGCAGGAAAAAAAAAAGCCAGAAGTGGCGCTGTGGCTCAAATGGTAGAGTGCTAGCCTTGAGCTGAATTGCTGAGGGACAGTGTCCAGGCCCAGAGTTCAAGCCCCACAACCAACAACAACAACAAAAAATTAAATTAAAAAAAAAAATGTTGGGCCGGCACCAATGGCTCACGCCTATAATCCTATCTACTCAGGAGGCTGAGATCTGAGAATCATGGTTCAAAGCCATCCAGGCAGGAAAGTCTATGAGACTCTTTTTTTTTGCTGGAAGTGGGACCTGAACTCTGGACCTAGGCGCTGTCCCTCAGCTCTTCAGCTCAAGGCTAGAGCTCTACCACTTGAGCCACAGCACCACTTCCAGCTTTTTCTGCTTATGTGGTGCTGAGGAATCGAAC